CATTCATTTGACAGTATTCCACAGGTGTGGACCCAAAGATTCATATGTATCTGTGTAAACACAAAATGTGCCCAAAAGGCATATACGTAAGTAAACACAATAAAACGAGTGCATACAAATGGTGCGCATTTGTATACCTTATGTGCATGTGTGAATCTGTGCACATACCTGCCTGCTCCAACCTGCCTGCGCCCATTAGTCCTTTACCAGGGAGCTGAGCCATAGTCATCACCTTCTGTGCTCTTTGTCTGTTGAAAGGCAGCACTATTTCCATTCCACTTTCCATTCCACATCTGAATTTCTTGCATCCCCCCAACTTGGTCCTTGCTCCAAACATCTGGAACCGATCTTAGATCTCCCTAAATGTTGCATCTTTCCTAATTTCCCCTTTCTCTAGAGAGGAGATAGACCTTCTTCTCAGAGGCTACCAAAGACTAGCACCAGAATGTTTAGTATGCAAACCTCAGTTCTTGTCTGCCTTCTGGGACAAGCTGTTATATGTTTATTGTGTAGTTAAGAAGGACAGGAGCCCTGACACATCCTCTGATTTTGGCACAGTTCCCATAATCCAAATCCCAGAAGGATCTCATAAAAGCATCATCTGTAGTGCAAAAGCTAAAAAACATCTGGGACCAGATCACCTGTGCCCAAATTTAATATGACTAGCAATTAGTTTAGTCTTGCTGGCTCATTGTTCCCCTGGCTGGCCCTCTGCTTGGCTCTCTTTCATCAGCACCTTTGCTGTGCTCCAGGCCTGTCAATGGTGGTTTCTTTCCAGACCATCCTTTCCTTCTCAGCTAACTATGCAAGGAACTAAAACAGCTGAGCCATGCTCTTACCCCAGGCCCATGCCCTACCCTCTCAGCTTCTCTTAGCTGTTTAATGGCTGGGGCCTCTGTTTTTATAGAGTCACTTGCTATCCCTTCTCTTATACTGGGACTCATCAGTAGGGATTTTGCTGCTATGAAAGGACAGACCTAGTGAGGAGTCCCTCATTCCCCAGTGTATATGCTCACCTGTCATGGTCCAGGCAGCGACATACAAATGTAGGCATGGCACCCAGGCATACCCTCACCAAGGAATACAGTGGCGAGAAGAAAGCTTTCTTTTATCTGAACAACAGCTTAGGGTCCCTGGGGATGAATCAAACTTGCAAAGTCTGGCAGGAAGTTTCATAGGATATATGTTCTTAGAAGTTTTGTGCTGACTGTGTGGATGTACTATTTGCGGTGGTTGAGTTCATGCCTCTGAGAAAGAGGAGCACATTTTTCCACTCTTCTTTTTTTATTAAGAGGCCATTGATTCTAGTTTTGGATCTCAGTTTCTCCAGAGCAAATTGGAGATGGTCATTTGATCACAAAGACTCTCGGACTCCCTTCTTGTGCCTCATTCTTGCCTCCTCTGAATTTCATTTACTGTTACAGTGCAGGTGCACAGCTTTAGGATACTTTTGTAATTTACTGACTGCTGTTTGCATTTGGGGCTGATGGAGATGAGAGGCAGTCCTGTGCCCCTGGAGAAGCTTTCTCAGAGGCAAGCTGTGGACTCTTCTGTGTGCTCTTGGGGAAGAGAGAAGAATCCAGGCTGTCTATGACTTTCCTACCTGCTCCTCTCAAGTTCCCTTGGAACTCCTTCCAACCTAGACATGAGCTACTGCTCTCTCAAGCCTCTGCTGAGTCTCCTCCCGTGTTGTGAACTGCTCCTCCCCTGTTCCAGGCTATACTTACCTGTGGGAGCTTGTATTTGGATGCACATGCTTTCATTTGTATCCCTAATTTCTATTGAACTTCTGTCAAATCTCAGTCCATGGAATTAGGACAGAGATTGACAGCCACCAGAACAGTCAATGTTGATAAGGCCTTTTCATAAACCAGGGAAGGGTTTAAGTCTCCATGTGCATTAAGTGATTTCATAACATAAGGTGTTATTTACGAGGAACCATTTGTGACAAGGCTCTATTATGATTTCCATTGTATAGGTCAGCAATCTAGGGCACAGTGTTTAGGTAATTTAATCAAGGTCACATGCTCAGCAGTGACAAAGTTGGCTTTGAATCAGGTGGTTGATCTCCAAGACTCAGCTCTTCATCATCAGAGTACCTCAGGAGTTTGGGTGCTATTGGGTGCCATAGACAAGAAGACAGGGCACATATGGATATAGAATGAGCTGTCAAAGGGAAACAACAAAGTCAGGGTTCAGGGAGGATGCTGGGACCAAGGAAAGTTTTTTTTAGATGGTTTCATTTGATTTGAGACTTGCAGAAGGGCCACCAGAGTGTAACACTAGTGCTTGAGGCTGGTCAAGGGACTAGAACAGTAAAACTAGTATTGGAAGAAAGAACCAATCAAAGCAAGGAAGTTTGTAAGTCAGTGAGCAAGGATTCAGAGAGAAAGAGAAAGAGAGAGAGAGAGAGGGAGAGAGAGAGAGAGAGAGAGAGAGAGAGAGAGAGAGAGAACCAGAAACTCTCTATCACTCACACAAAGAGACACACAAGGGGGGATGGCAGGAGAGAAAGAGACAGAGAGAGACAGTGAGAGACAGAGATACACACAAAGAGACAAATAGAGACACAGAGACAGACCGAGAGAGACAGAGAAAGCCATGAAGTGAGAAGGACATTCACTTTCTTTTTGGAGTTTGAGCATGACTGATATCCTACACTGGTGTCTTCCATGGAAAAGCTGTTCAATAAATATGATGGATGTAGTTGTTTAATTTCCTGTCTAAATGTTTCTCCATAGCTGAGTGATGAGCAAACATCTTAGACCTCTGGGTGTTGGCAGAGCATCTGCAGGAACAACTCTGTACAACGTCCTTTTGGGACTTGGAAAATATAGGAAAGGAGTTAGAAAACATCTCTCATGGGTGCTCTAACTCCAGCATCCATCCATCCATCCATCCATCCATCCATCCATCCATCCATTTAGCATCCATCCATATATCTAACCACCTATCTTTCCTTCCTGACTTGAAGGACTTCTCTAGCTATGAAAGTTTTAGGTGTGGGAAGCACAGAAATTAAAGATTAGAATCTACTTCCAGGTCAATTGTTCTTTTAAGCCTGGCATTTTTCCATCTCACTTTTCCCATCTGCCTTTCCTCTTGTGCCCTGCCATCGAATTCTTCTGCATGAAGGAAGAGGCAGGCAGAGGGCAGGTTGTTAGACAGATGGAGACCGGGGTTGCTGCAGAAGGCAGAAATGGGAGAGGAACAGAGGCAAACAGTGGAAAGTTGTCCAAATTCTTCTTGAATTCATGCAGAGGTTTGGTATATAGTGCGTTTTGGGTATCTGTGGAAGGAGAAAGAGATACCTATAACAGACACAGGTAAATTTCAGACATCCAGGAATTAATGTTATTAGGTATATATATATTTTAAAAAGATCATTGTTCTTAAAGGTTTGAGAAGCAGCTTTGTGCACCAGAAGCCAGTTCCTACTATCCATCTCTAGCTTTGGTGGACCTGTGGATTTCTCCTTTTTTCTGGAACCAAGAGGGTACAGAAGCTGTGGAGAGAATGATCAAATATTAGTGCATACATGCCCTTTGCAGTGCCTCCATGTGGCCTGAAATATGTGCTGTGCCAAGTAGGGGTTTGGGACTTGCTTCTGCTGCTCTGACAGCCACATGTGCTAGGAACTCAAAGACACCAAAGAACATTCTCTTGTTGACTTTATGAGACAAACCCAAGTCTGTGATGAGTTTCAGAGAAGAAGAACTTGGACATGCCCATGGAGAGTATTGGATGTGAGACTTGTTCTTCTATGGACATCTGGGAGACAAGATGCAGCAAGACTCCTTGGAAAACTCTGGAAACTATTTTCAACAAATCATTGATACAGTCTATTCTTTGCTGAGATCCTAAAGATTTCAGTCCTGGGTGGGTTGTCTAGACAATTTACCCCCAAGCCTCTGGTCTTCACCTATGTTGAGAACTGGAAAAATGCATTTTATCCTCTGATTTCTTACTGTTTGAAAAAAAAATCACTGAACTCTCTGTGGGAAGCTGGTGATCTGTCCTTACATAACCCAGTGAGGGATAAAGGGTCGACAGACTTCGGGAGAGGTTTAATCAGGACCCTTGGGTCTGAGCCCATGTCTGACAGTTCTAATTCTCCAGTGCTGTTTCCTGAAAGATGGATGGTCATTTTGGGCTTTCTGCTCTCTAATCCCCCATTCAGAAAAAACAAACACCCTAAATCCCCAATAATGTAGGTTTCACAGTCTTACACATGTATCTGTGATTCAGCACCAAGGCTAGCACCACTCACAGGCAGCATATGTTCTCACAGCTGGACTGAAGCAGTGTTCAGGCTCTGGGGGCCCAACTTGTTTTTGGCAGGAGGATATCACACTGTGG